CAAGCTGGCGTCTAGGAAGTGGGCGCACTCGGGGCCAGCGATGCCAACATGCCCACCGTCTCCTGGCGTGCGCGCGCGCTGAGTAGAGAGACAGCGCGCAATAACGCTTCCTGTTGCAATCAACGCTTCCTCTGCCTGGGTTCCCGCCTGCCCTGCCCGCTGCCACCGTGGGGTTTGCAGAGAAGGGGAAGTGGGGGGCGATGAGGAAATCGAAATCGCAGGCGTCATCCCTTCACTTCTCCCTCTCCGGCTCCCTCCACCTGGCACCCTCTCTCTCCTTTGCCCTCACTGCCGTTCTCCGGGCCTCACCAGTGTCTGTGGTTCACCCGTGTGGCTCGGTGGGTTGGAAACTCCAGGGTCAGGACACATCCCCGGGTTACGGGTTTCATCCGAGGTGGGGGTGCATAGGGAAGGCCACCCATAGATGTTTCTCACATGGAGGTTTCTCCCTCTCCCTCCCTCTCCCTCTCTCTCTAAAGTCAGTAAAAATAGCTCTGGCTTGTTTGTCTTAGTGGATACTGGGTTGGCCTGCAGATTGAAGGATCCCGGGAATCGAACCCTGGAACCTGTCAGTTCGAGGCCTAATGCTCTATCCCCTAAGCCAAACCAGCCAGGGCAGGAAATCCTTTCTTTCTGATAGGTAGAAAGAGAATTGAGCCCCGGCCGGTGTGGCTCAGTGGTTGAGCATCGACCTAGGAACCAGGAGGTCACGGTTCGATTCCCGGTCAGGGCACATGCCCGGGTTACAGACTCGATCCCCAGTGTGGGGCGTGCAGGAGGCAGCGGGTCGATGATTCTGTCTCATCATGGATATTTCGATCTCTCTCTCCCTCCTTCTCCCTTCCTCTCTGAAATCAATAAAAACATAAAAATTTAAAAAGAAAAAGCTCTGGAATTAGACAGTGGTGATGGGGCTGCCACTTTGCAACAAAAAACAGACCAGCCTTGAAATGTACATTTTATAAGGGTGAACTTAACGGTATGTGAATTATATCTGAATTTGTGCATGTGTGTGTGTTTTTATTTTTAATTTTTAAATCTTTATTGTTGAGAGTATTACATATGTCCTCTTTTTCCCCCCCATGGACCCCC